TAATATTGTTTAACTAAAATATAACAACAAGCGATTAGAATAATGAAAAAAAAAATAAAGAAAAATTGAACGTACTGAATCAGGTTTTTCATATCTCCCTGTACAAGATCATGTAGGTATAGTAGTGCCATGCGATAAATTGAAATGTATAACAATTATACAAGGATTATCATTCACTTTGACATTATACTGTGCTTTAATAAATGCTCTTTATACACTGGATAAAATCAGAAAATTAGTTTTTGTTCTATGGAAATAAAATATATCGATTTCCTTTATCTTGAAAAGCATAGTATAATTACTAAATTAGAGAAGTCTTCGAATTAATAGTTAAGCAATCGATTCATTTCATCTGGAGATGTTAAGTTTTGAACTGCTGTTGTTCTTCGAATCTATCTCGTGTTATTTGGCGAAAACATGAAGAGTCTGAGTGTGGGTGTGAGCCTTGCTTTCACCAACACCCAAATCCTTCGTGTAATTTCGAGCTGACCCAATTTTCCGCAATTCTGTGATGAAATTACTTACATCTACTGTCCTGTATGATCGTGATCAATGTTTGTAATGTAAATCTAAAACAAGATTTACATGTTAACTTTATTTATATAAGTAAAATGTACATATATATATATATTGTTTCCCAGGACAATGTACACAGATGAAGTATTACATACTGTAAAGAAATAAAAATAAAGCAGTGTTCACATTATTTCAATAAGTATAGATGCGATTCTTATAATATAGATCGTGTTTTGCATATAGATAAAGCATTATTTTTTGAAATTTAAAATCGTTGTCAATATTTTGAAAGAGCAATGTTAATTTGTTCTCCTAAATCTATACTGTACACTACTTTTTTGGAGAAAACCTACAGTAGTGTATATCTCAGAAACAGCGAATGTTCTGTAAATTTTGTTTCTCTGTATACGCTTGCAATTGGAAACATTGTAGGACACTAAAGAGAAGCAACCTGTACTATATTTTTTTGTTCATGCTAATTGCATCTAAAGGGGTGTAGCACACCAAAGATCGAAACAGATGAGACAATCTCGATTAGATTCGATTTGATTAAAAGAAACAACATCTTCAGTTGATGTAGTTCTTCTAGACAGCATCAGCATAAAGATTGTATTCGGTTGAGGCAATTAGAATCATTTGATAATTCAATTCGGTTTTCATCATTGTACCATATAGGAAGCAAATTTATCCTGATATTGTCAGAATTAAAAATGTCAAAAATGAAAAAATCAGAAAATAAAATAATAGAAATGTCAAAACATAGAAATATTGGAAATGAAAGTGTATGAAACAAGAAATCTCTTGATACTCGCTCTTACTCTTACTTCCATATTTTGATCTCCAATTTTCGTCTTCGATGTTTTCATTTTCGCCACTTTCACCTTTCGATCAAAGTACGATTCACCAAACAGAATAGGTGGTTAAAGGTCGAAAGGAAAAATGTCGAAAGCAGATTGTCGAAAATCTAAACTCTTCTTGGTCACAGGTTTCGCCCTCACCCTCACTGTTGTGCTCTGTGAATGTGTACCGTATTACATTCTATTGATCAAATCTTAGAAAAAGTTTTTCATCAAGGATTTACAAGGATTTACAGGAGTTCATAATTTTAGACATTTTGCTTTTCTACATTTTCACTTTCTACATTTTCCTTTCGACATTTTGACACTTTACCATTTATGCGCATAATATGACATACAAATTCTATTTGCAACGTTTAATAAAGATTAACGATGAACGCATTCATATGTGTGTTGCCTTATTGATCAGTCTATCATATTGGGTATTCAGACGTAGAAAAAGGTATGGACAACTGTAAAGAGTTAATTTAAATAAATTTCTTAATAAATTGTTTACAATTTTTGTTTCAAAAACATCAGTCTCTTGTACACTTTGAAGATTAGGATGATTTGCAGGTACTGATTGTTTTAAAATATTTAAAGCGCATTCGAAAAATGGAAGTGCTTTCTGATATTCACCGATTTTGAAATATATTGAACCAATATTATTGTAAGAAATAGCCAAGGCTGGATGATTTGGTGGAAGATTGTTTTTTTCGGAGTTTCAGTGCTTTTTCATGAGATAAAGTTGCGTTTGAATAATCATGCACAGCATTATATAATGCAGCCATGTTGTTATAAGAAGTAGCTAACATTGGATAATTGATAGGAAAAGCTTTTTCTAAGATTTCATGTGCTTTTTTTTGAGTTAAAAGTGCTTTCGAATACTCACTCATTTCATAATACAAGCTACCTATGTTATTGTAGGAAGTAGCTAACGAAAAATGATTTGATGGATAGATTTTTGTTAAAATTTCATGTGTCTTTTCATAATACGAAAGTGCTCTGGGATATTTGTCGAGTCCATGATATATCAAGGCAATATTGTTATAGGAAGTAGCTAATATAGGATGATTTGGAGAAAGAACTTTTTCGTAGATTTCACGTGCTTTCTCATGAAATGAAAGTGCTTTTTGAATAGTCACCCATTACTTCGTACACTGAAACGATATTGACATAAGACGCAGTAAAATCCTGATGATTTGGAGGAAGAACTTTTTGTCGAATGTCTAAAGCCTTTTTATGAAATAAAAGTGCACTCGAATAATTTCCCAAGCTTTGATATGCAGATGCTATATTATTGTAGGATAGAGCGAACTCGGAATGATTTGGTGGGAGAGTTTTTTTGTAGATTTCTTGTGCTTTTTCATAAGACGAAAGTGCATTTGTATATTCACCTTTTCTATAATACATCATACCAAGGTTGATATGGGAAATAGCCAAGTAAGGATCATTTAAAGGAAGAACTTTTTGACGAATTTTCAGTGATTTTTCAAATAATGATATTGCATTTGTGTACTCTCCTATACTGCCATAAACTAGCGCGACGTCACCATACATAGTAGTTGAATCGGGATCGTTTTTAGAAAGAATTTTTCGAGAGATTTCAACTGATTTTTCGCAGAATGATATTGCCTTATTATATTCACCTTGATGTTCTTTTATTAATCCAAGTTGATTATAAATTGCCGCTTTCTCAAACTCATGAGATGTTTGATTGAGTAGTGTTGTGTAAACTTCTTCAGCTTGATTGAATTGGCCTAGTTTCATTAATAATACACCCAATTGTAGCCAGCTTTTGGCTCCTGCAGTCTCTATTCGTATTTGATTAGTGAGTATGCGGAGTTGTTGGTCATCGTTACTCGTTAGTTTGAGTTCTACCTGCCAAAATCAGTTGGTATCATCGAGTTTTTTAATTTCACCAATGCGAAAGACAGTGTGCACAGAGAAAAGAATTTCACTTTCGTCTCTGAACTTACTAAAATTTGCGATGGAGGCAAATGGAACTGATGAAATAGATGGATTAATATTGATTACAAACAATATTCCGATGAAATCTGGATTAGTTCGATTAGTATCTGTGAAAACAAACGAAACGTCTTTATCAAGACTAATCGATAAAAAATTATTGAATGACATAAGTCCACCATTGGTTTTTACCAGTTTTTCAAAATCTACTTTTGATAAGACTTGCCCTTGATAAACAGTAAATGATGGTGATGAATGAACACTAAATTGCTTAGAATGTAATTGTTCGATATGTTTATGAAGATCATTAATGAAAAATCCAAGTTTTATAATGGCATCCGTTTCTAGAGTACGAAGAGCGCGATTGAGCATAGAATGGAGATAATTTTCGCTTTTATACCATCAGATGGAATTATGAGTATGATATTCTCGTTCGAATCTGTTGATAGTATTTCTGTCGGTACAATGGATATTTCGACAATAATTCGCAAAATCTTTGATAGATTGTTCATTGTATTGAGTTTCCAAAAGAATTTCTTTAAGTATTTGTGTATACATGAATGCTGGATCAAGTTGATCCAAATTTTTATCTGATATATCTTCATCGATGGGAATAAAGCTGATGGAAATAGAGTTTTGGATCACATTGTTTAATTGCTGTTTGAAGAACTTCACAAATGGATTTGATTTGTATGTAAATACCTTTTATTTTCCACCATTCTTGTATCCACTGTTCATCATCAATTTTTTTATCATTAAAGATATAAACGGCATATAGTTGATCAATGTTATGAATGAAGGGTAGAATATGTTGAGCAGCAGTTTCGGAGACAATCATGAATACCTTTTTATCTTGAACATCAGTAAGAAAGTCAATAAATATTTCGATTGTATTGCTAATATGTTGTAGCTGAAGTTTAGAATGATGAAGATCAGCGTTTGATTCGTTAAGATTTGGGTCTAACCAAATGAGAACGAAATTTTGAATGATTCCCTGCCTACCATCAAAAGTATCATGATTTTGTAGGATTGTAGACCTATCATTGAAAAGACTGGCATCTTGTCTTTTGTCAATGTTATGTGCAGACAGATGAAGTGATTCTGATCGTACGAATTGTGCTGTTTGAATGTGTGCTGCAGAAGACAAATGATTCAGCATATACGAAAGTATTCGCTCTTCTTGTTTGTGTATTTAAAAATGTCATTCTTATGACTACCTGGGTCATTTTAACGCCAACTGTATATCAAAATTAGAAAAATGTCTTGTTCGCATTAGATATTCATAACTCTGCCCAAGTCCAAGCTTACAAATTCAGATGAACTGCTCAAAAGAACTATTAAACAGTGTTTGAGATCATCTAATATGAAATTATTTTAGGACTAACTTTGTTAATGTTTATCGATGAATGAAATAATAGGCACTTCGTGAGACCAAAATCGATTTCATTTATACTTTTCCAATGAAAACTTAATGTAACTTATTTCGTAGTATAGAATTCGATTGTACATCTTAACTTACATGAATGAATCGTAAACTTTTTATACAATTACATTTTTGAAGTGTGTCTCTTGAAAATCTGTTGCCTGTGGCCCGATTTTAAAGGTTCTTTTTTGCTTCGCTTTCCTACCCTAGAGAATATACTGAGTTAAGGGTACCCAAAAAAGTACCCTGATACCAGTATGTCACAGGAACTTTTGGGTACCAAAGTACTTGCAGGTACTTATAGGTACCTAAGTGGTACTTTGGCAAGTACCCTGCTGGAAAATGCACAGTAATTGGGTACCTAAAGGTACTGATCAAGTACTGAATTGGGTACCATTGTATAGTATTTCTAAGTACCTTGTTACCAAATTTCCAGTATGTTCAGGATCGAACCTGATCTTTGACTTTTTAAAATTTTTTTTTGTTTTTCTTGAGATAATTTACTAGATTTTTTTTTTACTTTATTCAATTCAATTTTTTCAATTCCAAAAACTTAGCAGGAACAATGTCGGGATCCGACTCAACTTGAGTTGGTCGTAGACCACTTCAGGGTGGTCCGATCTTAATTTACGACCAAACTCGGCATTTCCTCGACTAAGAAATAGTCAAGAAATAATTTAGAAAAAACTAGTATGAAAATTGATTATTTTCTTATGATTTATCGAGTTGTTTATATAGAGCCGTTCGTAAAAAAGAAAACGGTGAATGAATAGTCACCACACAGAACGCGAAAAATTTAGGATACCCTGTCGAGATTTCCTCAGTAAAGTTACAGACTTGTGTATCCATGCAGGTACTTATTCAGTGAATGTACTTTTACGGGTACCCCAAACAGTACATACATCAGTAAAATTACTGAGAATTTTCAAAGTACCCATATTGGGTACCCTGCTAGAGCTTTCTCAGTACATGGGTACCCTGAACTCAGTACTTTCTCTAGGGTAGTATCTGTCAGACTACTGCAGAACATGTCGGCCCGATAGCTTATCAGCTCATTAAGATAGAGAGGTTGAAGGCAAAAAATCTATGATTTTTCTCGAGTCATCGTACAAAGAATGACTTTTTTGAGGAAGGAAAGAAAAAAAAAAGAAAAAGTGAACAGCATGGGTGTGACTGTTATTATTAGTAGAAGACGTAATCACATCCACACCCTCCAAAAGTAGGAGAGTGACTCTCATCTACCCCCACTTTTGTGGCCTGACAGCAACACGACCTTTATAGTATTAAATTAATTCTCTATGAACACTTGGTTATAAAATCAACACATACTATTGTGCATTTTTTATTACTTAAAGTTTGAAATTTTCATTTATTGAAGTATGATGTACACTCTCTCTCCCCACGTTCGTCGCCCCTACCAAGCGCATCAATTAAACCTCGAAATATTTTTGTTGGAAAGCTACTGTTCTCGTAGAAGGTTTTAGAAGCCACCTGAACACTAGACAAAGGATGATCCCATGATCGCACAGTCACACTTCAAGACTCAAACGTACAGTGAAAAATATTCGACAAGATGTTGCTTTTGAAAGTTGCGCGTCTTTAACAAACAGATTATATCGAGTGTCGGTAAATAATGGAAACTATCTGAATTAATAAAAGTATGCATTTTTGTAGTGTTTCACAGAGGTGGGATCGGTTCGGTTTTTGACCGAACCGAACCGACCGACCGAAACCGAAATCGGTTCGGTTAGAGATTTTTTGAAAAATCGATCGGTTACGTTCGGTTCGGTTAGAGATTTTTTCGGTTACGGTCGGTTCGGTTGGAGATTTTTTAAAAAATCGGTCGGTTACGTTCGGTTCGGTTGGGAAGAATTGATAATTTTTTCAAATTTAGTTCAGGAGATTTTTTTTCGGTGAGATATATCAAGAAAAAAAGAGGGTGATTGCACAACAATTAGATGTCGCTCGTAACTCAGATATTATTACGCATTTTTTTTGATTGGTTGCAAGACGTAAACAAGTCATAATACAGTGTGATGATTCAATGAATAATCTTTTTTTTCTTTGTTTTCTCTAGATGTTCATTATTCGTTGTTGTTGTATTCAGTTTGTTTTGTTGTTGTTGGCATTCAAGTGTTGTTGCTAGTATTCAATTTTGGTGCTAATATTAAACTTTTTGTTGGTGGTACTCAGGTATTTGTTTCTAATATTCAATTTGTTGAGTAAGTGTTTTTTTTCTAATTGAATATTAGGAAAAAAAAAATTAAATATTTTAGAAATATTCATTCGAATATTATGGATGATTGTGAATGTTTGTTATTGGATTCAAATAATCAACCTTCTTCTTGTACACAACCCAGTAATTCTTCTATTTCTATATCAACTGATTCATCAATTGAACATTATACAAAAGGATCAATAATGCTTGCTTTAATAATTCTACAATATCGAATAAAAAAGTTAATGCTGTTTCCTTCATTTCACAATTATCAATTGATGCTAAACGTATTTTAATTACAATCGTTCTATGTAGGGAACTGGTCAAATATGTGAAGAAGGTAATTTTAATACCAAGTTTTCTTTGCTGTGAAGCTAGATGATTTAGAAGAACGAAGCGGCTTTGTAGACACTATAGTTTTTTCAATTTTTTCATAGATGAATTTGAATCAAGATCTTGAAGATCGAAATTCATTTGTTCTTTTACAATGTACAATTGTTCGATGGCTCTCTTTAATGAACTGTTTAGAGAGCGTGAACAAATCTTTAGTTTCACTTGATGAAATTTTTGAAAAGAAATTGAATAAAACAAAACTTAATAGAATTAATGTATGCTTATTGAATAAATTGATTGATTTTCTTAAACCCTGGGAATATGTTATAAAACGAATTCAATCATCAAAAACACCATCAATACATATAGTTGCTCCTAGTATTTGTATTATTAGTTCTTCACTGGAAACTAAATCTGGTGATTCAAAACAAGATAAAGACTAGTAATTCTAACTGTTCTTTCATATTTTTCTGTTTAACTTTATTCGATTTCGGATTTGCATATTTTCGTCAAAGAGCAAAACAAATTATAAAAGAAAAAATTCAATATCATCCTATTCATCTGATGGGAACATTTTTAAATCCGAAAACTCGAAAGATGAAACATTTATCTGTCGAACAACGCGAACAATGCATAGAATATATCAAACAAGAAATGTTATTATTTGATAATGATAATAGTTCTAAATTACCAACAACCCGAAAAGATTCTCAATTGTCCATAAATCATCCAATTAAATCTATAAATGACTTTTATTCAAATGCAGAAGATAATGATGAAGATGATATAGATCAACAGTCTGCTTTACGATCCTCTTCACATGCATTAGAAATCGAGTTGTATACTAAAAAAGGATGAGATAAATCAACAAATTCAGGTGAATCTCTTCAAGCTGAATATAATCCTTTGTCTTTCTGGAAAAAGATGCATAGTTCTTATCCTATTCTTTCAAAAGTAGCTGCTCTTGTTTTTTCTGTACCGGCTTCAAGTGCAGCTGTTGAACGAGAGTTTAGTCTTGCCGGTAACATCATTACACAAAAACGTTCAAACTTATCTCCAGATGTCGTCAACAATATGGTTTTCAATCATTCATACAAGGTGTATCAACCAGGACTTGATAATACAGATAAACTCGAACTACATTAATGTAATATTGTTTTTATTTTTTTCAAAGAATTGTAAAAATATTATTTTTGATTTAATGAAAATAAATTATAAGGATTTGTATATAATAGAATCTTTGTTTATGAAGTACTAATGCCTCACTTAACATAGGTTAAACTTTGTTTTTCGTACACTCGGTTCAGTTTGGTTGGTTTGGAAATTTTTCGAAATTCGGTCGGTTACGTTCGGTTCGGTTGAAAACTTTTCAAAACTCGGTCGGTTACGTTCGGTTCGGTTAGAGATTTTTTCGGTTACGGTCGGTTCGGTTAAAAACTTTTTAAAATTCGGTCGGTTACGTTCGGTTCGGTTAGAGATTTTTTCGGTTACGGTCGGTTCGGTTAGGAAAAAAGGCAACCGAATCCCACCTCTGGTGTTTCATGACGAATCTTTAAAAAACAAGAATTGCTTTCATTGGTTGAATCGTGATCAAGAAAAGTGTAAAATACTGCGAGGTCCATTTAATCTGTGCTGTTCGTTACTTATTTACTCTTATCGGGTTTCAAAAATAGAAGAAAATGAATTTGTCGAGTGTAAACATACTATTTTGCGCAGAATTGTATAGCGAATCTTATGGTAACAACCTGACATCTGTGCAATGACAGTTAAAGAAGATATTGATGAAATATTGAGGGCGTAATTTATTCTGAGTCATCCGATAATTTCGATGGTATGCACGACTCAAGGAGAAAGAATCTTCAAGGAATTCAATACAAAGAAAGAAAAGATAGTGAATAATCCGATTACACAAACATACATTGGCAACACTTGGAAAGAATAACAAAAATTGAGTGTTCTGATTTACTTGTTCGTTATTTCGTTTATCGGTAATGAATTTTTTTTCTTAGCAAAATATTTCAACAGTTTCTGACACCACTACTCAACGTCGGCTTTTTTCTGGCAATGGTATTGTGTGTGCATGCAACGATTGCTCGTTTGAAAGGAAGTGTCGTTCCCTGTTATTATCGGAGAAAAGTGTTTGTTATTGAAGAGCTGTGTCAGGTGCAATTGAAGGAGACCTAGGGTGTGAGTGTGGGGTGCAAGTGTTTGAGTTTGGTTAAAGAGAAAGCTTACAACTACTCACACCCATACTCTCACATACTAACCCTATCTTCAAAATGTTGGTAATAGGCCACTGTTCAACAACTATTTTATTAGGATATAAAGAAAAATTGCTTATGATTTATGGCACAAGAGTCACGATCTCCACTACTCAACGAAGATTATCAGATTCGTACGGAACCATTTCCATCACGTGGAAGGCGTTTTTCAGATGCATTGGGACAAGAAAGTATTATTGATTGATAAACCGAACATTTTGCATCGATAGAGCAGTCACTACTCGAGTATCTATTTTTACGTATGCTTGTCCAATCCTGTGAAAGACTCTACTTCACAAATGAATCACTATTTACGTACCTTATATGGTCAGTTGCAGTATAGTTGGTTCAAGCAGAAGAGAAACACACACGAGTTTTCAATAGCATATGATAATCGAGATGTGTGAATAGAAGTTTTAGATGAATAATTCACGCTTTTTTGGTATAAGAAGAAAAAGGAAGTGAAGAGATGTAGCAATATGAGATGAGATAAGAACATAAAATATATTATATTACTCATATGAAACGTCAATAAAGAAGAAACACAGAAGAAAAATATTTTTATGTAGGCAGCTCGAATTTCAATTTTTGATGACTAAACGAAATTCTTTAACTTGAGTTTATACGACACAGATAAGCTACAAGCGTCGGTCTACGAGAAGCAATTGTTTTTTCAATAGTTTACCTTTTTCTGCTTCCTTTATTATTTCATCTTCACTTACATATCTCATTTTTAAGTTATAAAACAAACGGTATATGTCCAATATATATTTTTTTACTTGCTTGTTCTTATAGATTTGTTCGCCATAAACAAAAATGTCTCAATTCTATGATATTGAGTGAACATAAAAAATCATCATCGAAAGAAAACTAAAGTTTCTTAAACAAAGGGTTACTTAATTCTATAAATATATATTTACAAGTGGCTCTGATTCGATTGATTCGCTAGCCGTTTTTCGACAGATAGGAATAAGGTGTGGGTGTGGGTATGGGTGTCAGACAATAGAATACGGTCAGCCACAGCCACACCTTGCATAGGATAATTCAAGAGAATTTTACTTTATTTCGCTAGAAAAAAATACTATTAAAATTATTTTTTCCGGATTTTTTGAAATTAATTTTGTTCATAGTTTGGCTCTTCAAAACTTGATGTCATGTTTGCATCAATTGTCAGACGCATAACATGCAAGCAAAGGTCTAGCTCTCTTAAATTGTTTTGAAAATCAATGATATCGAAAATATACTCTAATATTTTTATATTGATATAACATTAAAAGAACCGACCTAGCCATTTTTCTTTGATTCGGTATTGTAAAACTATAAAAAGAAAATTCGTTTTTTTCTCTAGCGTGAGAGTCCGACCATACTCCAGATCTAATAAACGATTAAATACTCCACGAAAAACTGATGAATTCTTATCGCTTTTTTGTCTTACAATTTTCATTTTGAGTACCAACCGATTCCTATTACAGATAAAATTGACAGCAAGTTGTAAAACAAACTGATCATTGTACCTGACATATGTGTTCTTTCTATGAATGTACTTTGAAGAAAATCATTGAATGAAATATGCACCGATTAGATTAATGCAACAAGTTCTAATGTGATTGCCGAAGACTAATAAAGGCCATAGTGCTATTCTGTCATGAAGATGGTAGAATACGGACTACTTCTTGCCGAAGAATACAAATTATACATTATCTTTGTAGAAAAAAAAATGAAAGATACACAATATCTATACTTATAACGAAACCAGTCGACTCATTCATCGAATTGGATCAATGGAAAGTTGGTTTGTTCAACTTATCTGTTAAACAATTCTTTGTTTCGATGAAGAGTCTCTTAGTTCAATTCTAAGATGATATACAATACAAAACTCATAGAAGTGTGTTACATTTCATATGCGGTGACATTAAGAGTGAATGATTATTGCTTTCAAAATGCATGATCTAGCAAATTTCCGTAACTATCAGAAAAATGTGGATGTGTGGATACAGATATAGATGTTACTGAGGAGAACAACCAAACTCCTACATCCGCAGCATCAATATTCAAATTCTATATTTTTTCGGAGTAGTCATCAAACGGAATCACATCGATATTAATATCCTCATTCTGTTGTGAACAATAGAATCTTTCAGTCTAAAATGAAAAGTCTGGTCTTTTTCTTTGCTATACTAGTTTGTATGCGTCTCAAATAAGACAATCGAATCGCACATAACTCCAATAGACTATCAAAAGCGAATAAACCATACTGATAATATAAATGAAAAATATTCATTTAGCTTTTGATATCTTAAGTTTTGAAGTACAACAGAAATATATTGACGAATCTGTTATCATGAAAACTTTTAGATGTGACTTTTTTTGTTCTCTTCACCTGCAAATCACATGCGAATATCCAGCCTGCTTTAATAATTTGTGTCACATAAAACGGACAAAGCATAGCTTACACATATCCATCTTCAGTAAAGTGCACTAGAGGTGTACAAGTCCTATAACTTGGAATAGGTATCAATCGAATACTTTTACAAGATGAAACGTGAATAAACACATTTACCAATCATGTATGTCAATTGTTTGAGAATATTGGATTATACCTTTCTGTACACTATGATGTAATATCATCTTTCTGTTTATTATTTGATGATCTATAATAATGATGGACAGTGACAAAGTCTCTGAAACGAAATTGTTGATGTGATATAGATATAAGAGTCATCAGGACGCTGATGTTTATTATCATTCTCTGTTTTATCTTTCTTCTGTTTTCGCATCTTATGTAAGAGTACAGGTTTCAATGCACGCGTTGTTTATTTCAAAAGGAATGGATAAATGAATGAACCAGATCTGTACTTATACTGTTGGATAAATCAAAGAGAAAGCAGATGTATCATGGAAATGAGACAAAAATAGTAAAAGAAAACAGGATGGGGATTATTTATTAGTGTGACGTCACTGTTACAGTGTTCTAAAATAAACCAAGGATGAATGGTTGGGACACGAATAGAAAATCCTTTTTTAAGTCAAAAGAGCGATACTTCAGTTTAACAGTGATCATGCATATAATTCTGCACTATTCGTTTGGCCACTGGAAGTATATCCACCAGTAATTAAGATTTTTCCATTAGTAAGTACGGACGCTGCGGGTGCGTATCGTTCAACGCTCATGCTGCCAATTTTTGTCCAAATACCTGTTGATGGTTCGTACAGCTCTGCACTTCTCAAATAGCCACCATAACCATATCCGCCAATTACTAAGACTTTTCCATTGGTAAGTATTGACGCTGTGAGTCCATATCGTGCATCACTCATGTTGCCAGTTTTTGTCCAAACTCCTGTTGATGGATTATACAGTTCTGCACTATTCAAATAGCCACTGTTACCACCTCCACCAGCTACTAAGACTTTTCCATTGATAAGCACCGATGCTGTGTGCATATATCGTGCTTCACTCATATTGCCAGTCTTTGTCCAAACCCCTGTTGTTGGATTGTACAATTCTGTAATAATCGAATAGCCAATGTTACTCAGTCCACTAGCTATTAAGACTTTTCCATCGGCAAGCCGAGATGCTGCGGATGCATAATGTTCAGCACTCATGTTGCCAGTCTTTGTCCAAACTCCTGTTGATGGTTCATACAGTTCTGCACTACTCAAATAGCCACCGTTACCACTTCCACCAGCTACTAAGACTTTTCCATTGGTAAGCACCGATGCTGTGTGCAAACTCCGAACATCGCTCATGTTACCAGTCTTTGTCCAAACTCCTGTTGTTGGATCGTACAGTTCTGCACTATTCAAAATGCCACTGTTACCACTTCCACCAGCTACTAAGACTTTTCCATTGGTAAGCACCGATGCTGAGTGCATATATCGTGCTTCACTTAAGTTGCCAGCCCTTGTCCAAACTCCTGTTGTTGGATCGTATAGTTCTGCACTATTCAAAATGCCAATGCTACCATATCCACCAATTACTAAGACTTTTCCACTGGTAAGTACCGATGCTGTGTGCCAATTCCGAGCAAAAAACATACTGGTGGCATTTAACCATCCTAGAAAGGAGTATTTCCGTGAAGCAATTCAAAGATTTACATATAAAAGTTATTTGTAGCTTTCAATGAAGTAGTTCGTTTTTTAAATGATTGTTTAATCTTCATAAAGTTTGCACATTTACACGTCACTGAACAATACTTTTGACGATATCAGAAAGTTTTGCTGAAATTTTTCTCAATCAATAGAAGCTAAAGTTCTGAAAATTTTACTATATATAAATGTTTGGACAGATAACACGACTATGACATTCTTTTGGTATTGAGTTACCAATAGGAATTTCTCAGTGCGAGAGTTACAGCTATCAACTATTTTAACTCGATTAACTTTTTGAAATTTTGAGTAGAATTAGTTGAGTTGAAATAGTAATTACTTTGATTTCATTGACGCGATTGATAAAATAAAGTTAAAAAAAAATATATATCATTGTCATTTGCTTTAAAAAACAAGTAATTACGAATTAACGCTTGAGTATTATAGAAAAAAAGATGTTTTTTTCGCCGATCAATGAAGATAGTTGTTTCAGAATTTACATTATTCATGCTGATATAGTTATATTCTTCTTGGAGGAAGACGCATTTATACAAGGTCGAGGAGTTAACTAACTTCTATTTCCAGTTATATTCTATCTCAGTGTCCTGATCTAAAATGTAGTTCATAATCCGTAATCTTGGTTGAATCGCCTCGATATTTGGTTTTCGGTCAAGATTTCCAAAATCAATTGTCATCTCAATTAGTGAATCAGGATAGGTAGAAATGTATTAAATTATCAAAGTCACATTTATTTATAACTGCACTGATAATCACTCAATCGAACCATAAAACTTCCACGATATCAATAATAAAACTCAATCCATGCTGCAAATAAAAGGATGCAAAAAATCGGTAATCTACTCAGCAAGTCTATATATCAAATAAACTAGAACACCCTACGAGCTAAACGGAAAGAGAAATAATCATGAAAATAGCTGCACATGTATCTGTTTCTAAGATTATCAATCTTATGCTAAATCAATAGAAACTGACTTTTTCATGGAAAAACAAGCAGTAGTTGAACTATTAGACTTCTCATACTAAGGAATCAGCAGACTTTTTAAAATGTCAAGATACAGAGAATATGAACCCTACACTGAAGTGAATTTTACTACTCGTTTTTCAGAGTAAATGAAGAGACTGTTGAGGAGTCAAATAAAAAGAGTTACATTCGACTCGATTAGATTTGACTCCTGCAAAAGAAATCTATAATTTGATTCGATTTAAGTGTGTAAATCCAACTCTCATTGATCATATTG